CTTCTGTTAAGTTGTTTCCTCTTTCTGGTGGTTCCTCATATTGATTCTAATTCTTACCTACAATATCACTAATGTGAAAACATGTTTAATAGGAATGTATATGTATAACCTATATCAGGTTGTGTGCCATCTTTGGGAAGTGTGGTAGGGAGGAAGGGGGAGAAAAATTTTAAACTCAAAAGCATGTGGTAGTGATTGTTGATAAATCAAAATAAATTAATTTTAAAAAAAAGAAAATATAGGCTGGGGGGCAGGGGGTGGTGATGGTGGGGGTGGGAAGATGAATTAGTCATCAAGCAAGCAAAAGCAAGGGATAACCATCAGAAAGCCCATCAATCAGTTAAGCTATAAGCATTTGTTAAGTACCTGCTGTATTCCAGGCGCTGTCCTAGGTACTGGGAATATAGTGCAAGAATGAGAATCCCTACTGACAGGGAGTTTACGTGTGCCTCACTGGTATCCACACAACGTTCAGAATACAAGACAGACTCAAACACACCAGGTAGACCCACACGGATTTCTAAGAGGACAAAGCCAAGAGCTGCACAGAATGGGCAGGTGTGGATGGGATGGGATGGCATCATCGGAAGGAATGTCTGGATCGAGGAGATCGCGGATTCATTGATGTATTGAAGTTGTTTGGAGCTTGAAATACATTTTTACATAAAAACTGTGTTAAAGGGTCTCAGGTCAGACCACAAAACCAGCTTCCAGTACAACAACACAAAGGAGGCAGCGTGAACAGGAGACGGGCTCATTTATAATGGGGGAACACTGGTGCTTCCGTCCCTTTGGATGGAATGATGATGGATGGATGGCCTGCAGCCAGGGAACTTACATGAATAGGGAATGCTGTTATTTGCTGGTGACTTTTAAGCCACAGAAGACACTGAATGACAGAGCAATGGGGAGTTAGATACCAAAATAGGGAACCTGTTGGAGCAGTATCATGGTGGTGGTTCCAGGCTCTTGAGGGAAGGCACCTCCCTCCCATAGACATCCGTGTGAGTTGATGGCCAGGTGGCCCCAGGGCAAAAGGGTAGCCAGGAGAGGGAATGGTATGTGAGGTGGTCCTCAGAGTGCCCCAGCCCAGGACCACCCTCAGAAAGAGTCAAGGACAGCCCTTGAATCTAGTTTCATGGGTCACTATGTTTCTGTAAAATACCAGCTTCCATGACTCCCCTGAAATGGCAGAGGCATGACACTATTCAGCCCAGGGATACTGGGACTTCCTTCAAGTCCTAACTAAAGTCCTGCCTTTAAAGGGACTTTTAAAGGGAAGCCTTTACCAGTCCTTCTTCCCTCCAAGCATTCATTACATGTCAGGCACTGTGCTAAACACTTTTCAAATATTATCCCATTTTATCCTCACAACAAATGTGAAAGTTAGGTGCTATAATTATTCCCATTTTGCAATTAAGGAAACTGAGGCAAGCAAAGATGAAGTGACTTGTCCAGGGTCACACAGCTGATAAGTGTCTGAGGCTGGACTTGAACTCAGGTCTTCCTGACTCCAGGCCCAGTCCTCTATCTAGCACCATCTCTCCGCCTCAAGCATTCAGAGGTATTACACCAAAGGGAGTGGTGTGTTGGTAATTGATAGGATTCTCTGTGCAGTCTTAGCCCCAGCTGCCTGGCCCTGAATGCCCACCTTTTAATCTTGTAGAGCTAAGCACTCTTTTGCAAGGATGTAGAAGGCTTCATTTGGATTAGTTTCATAATCTCTGATGGTTCTTCATTTATACTCACATGAAGCTTCCCCTCATTTCTTCCCACATCTGATAGCCCTTGGAAGAACAACTCTAATGTGTGTGCAGAGAGTTTCTTTGGGCATACATGCCAGGCAGACCTCCTCATGGTTCTGCTGCTCTCTAGATCAAACGTGCTTTATCCTGTCCCTCTGAGCCTCCTCTGCCCCCAGAGGCAGAGCTGTGGCTTCTCTCCCTCCTCTTCCTCCTCCTCTTCCTCATTTCTTGGCAGACACACTCAGGTGCCCCTTCATCTGGCCTGGAATCAAACAAGCTTCCTATAGGATGAGGGAGACTCGCCCTTCACTCACTGCCTCTGGGTGCCTGGCAGGAGATTTGCAGACCCCCTCACTGGCTCTTATCTGAGCCTAGGGTCTGAGAAGGTTCCAGCCCCTTTGATAGTCATTCCCATGACATGAGGCAAAGAAGGGATTAAAGAGCTGGTTCTCTGAGGCCTTCAAAGCTGCCTCTTCCTCCTCTTGTTTTCTTTTATCTGTCTAATGATTCTCCACTTTTATCCAGAAGTGCTGAGGAGACTGCCAAGGCTCCTGTGAGCTGAGAGGAGCTTCTGGGAGAAAACCCCACATTTACTTTCCCAAAATAACAAAAGAAATTGCAAAGACTCTCAAAGTATTAAAGAGTTCCTGCCAACTACCGAGCAGTGGGAGAAGGCAGCTAGGTGGTGCAGTGGTTAGAGCACTGAGCCTGAAGCCAGGAAAACCTGAGTTCTAATCCAGCCTCAGAGACTTACTAGCTGGATGACTGGGAGCGGGTAGCCACTTCCATGCACCTCAGCTTTTTCTACTGTAAAATAAGGATAATAGAAACCCTTTCCTCCAAGACTGTTGTGAGGATCAAATGAGATGGTATTTGTAGAGTGCCTTACAAACCCTAGAGAGCTGTGTTATCATTATTACTATAAGCCACATAAACTCTTTGAAGCTCAGTTTCCTCATTGGTAAACTTGGAATGATAATATTCACCTTGCCCCCTTCATAGTCGTATTGTGCTTTGTAAAAGCTAAAATACTGTATAAATGAGATAAAAACTAATTTGCTACTTTGGTTGAAAGCTTTGAATGTCCCAGTTCACTGAGCATTCTGGACAGCTGGGTTCCAGGCGGCCATGCTGTCATTTGGGACACTGAGCTCTCCTCAGTCATCCAGGGCACAGCCAGAGTCACACTGACTCATGCCTGGCCCCAGACAATGGCACTGGCAGTGACATCTACCTACTCTGTTGTCAGTACCAGCTTTCCCAATTTCCCCACTGGCCATCCCTGCACTCCCAATCCATTACGTACTCTCTATTATCCTGTCGATAAGGCCATGTGAAATCAGCCCCGCAGTGGTGGCTGGCCCTGATGATGGCAGCAGCATGTTCAGCATGGTGGCCGCCAGCTCACTCCTTTGATACCAGATGATCCATTGGGTCAGTTTGCTACAGAACACACTGTTCTGCCTGAAAAGGACGTTGGCTGCAGAACACAGGGTTCAGCAATGGAGTCATCTCCTGTAATGAACCTACGACAAAGAGCCTAGACTACCAGATGATGAGAGACAATGAGGTCATAGGGAGAAGCATCACAGGAACCGGTTAGGTGACGGACAAGGGACAGCCTCTCTCCAGAGCTCCTGACTCTCCAGGAGCTGATGGGGAAGCTTTGTGAGCTTACCAGCTTGGAAGCCTTTCACTGAGACTTAAGGAAGGATTGGGGATGAACTGACCAGTGTGGACTGTTGTAAATCGATTAGGATAAATTGGTTGTCTCAGACTAGTGTAAGCCAGAGCTGCTCCTTTGTGCTGGGCCCCGAAAAAAGAGGTCAGTGGCAGCTGCCCTTTGTCCTGGTCAGAGGAATCTGGAGAGAGCTGAGCACAAGCTGGAGACCACAGAGCTGAGCCTGGGCTTTGGCCCCTATGGGACACTTGGGCATCCACACAGCCCAGGGACCAAGTGGTCACACCCCACCTTAGCTCCAGGAAAGGCAGCTCTGATGAGGAGAAGGGTGGAGAAGCCAGGGTGCCTATATTCTGATGACCTGGACCCAGACCTGGAGCAAGCACTTTGCGATTGTACTCAGCCTCCACCATGTAGAGCCGGGAGGGGGGGAGTGAGCTTCTGCACCCCAACCTTCTTGTGAGAGAAGGGGAGATCCTGGGCTGCAAAATAAGCCTCAAGTATGCATCTAACAACTCCAGAGTCAAGGGGGGAGCACCCAGACTTCTAGAGCTAGGAGAGGGAGCTCCTGATAGAACCAGACTCTTAGAGAGACAAGGATGCTAAGACCCCTGGCCATGAAAAACTGGAGGAGCAGTGGGGGGCCCAGCCACAACTTGCAGGACCCGAGACCCTGGGCTTTTTCCAATTCTGACCTTACCATGATATATTTGGAGAGAGGAGGTATGAAAGGAAGGGCCCCTAGTTCATTTTCAGTCTGTAGGAAGCATCCAGGCCCTTGGAGAAACACCCTGGGGCTCAGGAGTGAAAGTCATAATAACCAGAATGCCAGGGGGTGGGAATCTCTTCATTAACACTGAATCTGTTTCCCTTCTGAGAGGAATACAAATCACAAGGCTGGGGGAAGGATGCTTTAAGTCTGGAGGGAAGTGATTTAAGACCTTGGAAGAAAGGTAAGACTTGAGAGAGACAGAAGATAATTATATTGATTGTTTATAAGCCACTGGGAGTCCTTTGTTTTCTCTCTTTGGGGTGAAATAAAGATAGTCCTTTACCTATAATGTATTGCTACCAGGGGAATGAATCATTGTATGTTTAGGGGAAAATTAAAGAAATCAAGATAAATTATTTCATCGTTCATTGGATTCTTCTAAGTGGGCATAAGGGGTGTGTGTGTGTGTCTGAGGGGCGAGGAGGAGGATTTGGGGACATTGCTGTTTCTTTGATTTTCTGATGTAGCCTCTGGCCCAGGGCCCCAGCTCCTGCGCTCAGATGGACCTGGTCCAGTCCTGGAGGCTGCTCAGAGAGCATCACACTGTGTGTGTGTGTGTGTGTGTGTGTGTGTGTGTGTGTGTGTCCCCTTTGACTTACTGTGGTTCCTCTCACTAACTCACTGCACTCATTTCCCATCTCCCCTCTTCCAGCTAGTTCCTAGTTTTGCTTGAATTTCTGTAACTCCATTGCCTAGCTTAGTATCTAGCACCTGGCAAGTGCTCGATCAGTGTTTGTTGATTGAAAGACCGATGCCCTGTCTCTGTGTGGGTTGAATAAAACTGTCCTTTGTTCATTGTCAGGATGTGTGCTGATAGTGTCCATAGTGGAACAGCTGGCACAAGTCCACAACTCTACCACACGGGAGGAGATGGAGCGACTGTGCAGCTACCTCCCTGGTAAGTGGAGACCCCAGCACCTGCCCAGGTAGGAGCGACTTTAGGCTAGTGATTTGAAGGCTTAGCATGGAAAGGATCTTACAGGCAGGGCCAGGTAGCTGCCTGTTCCCCACAAGGAGCCATCCCAGGGAGAACGGAGAAACCTACAAGGAACTCATAAAGTATCTGTGTGTGTGTGTGTGTGTGTGTGTGTGTGTGTGTATCTCTCTCTCTCTCTCTCTGTCTCTGTTGCTGTCTTGGTGTCTCTCTCTCTGTTGCTATCTCTGTCTCTCTGTCATTGTCTCTGTATTTCTCTGTCTGTCTCTCCTCTCTCTCCTCTCTTCTCTCTGTCTCTCTGTCTCTCTCTCTCTCTCACTCACTCACACACACACACACACACACAGCCCTGAGAGTCTCTTATTTTTTGGAGTGAAGACAGAAATTGCTGTGGTCACTCAGGGAATGAGATGTGGATGATGCAATGGTTATTTTATGTGGCTCATTTATAATGTCCATTCTGCCTCGATGCTATCTTCCCTGGCCATTTATCACAGACTCTTTGCTGTGCTGCACCCTGACAGCAGCCCAGGGGAAGTTAATGAAATGATTCATTATTATGGGCAGCTTTTCTGCTTTTATGGAAACAGATACACACACACACACACACACACACACACACACACACACACACACACAGAGCTTCCTACCATCATCGAGCTAGCAGATCCAGCCCAAACTTGGACATTTGGCATCAGTGAGGGTACAGCCCTGGACAAGGAGTGCTCTGTGCCTCAGCAGAAGCATCTGGAAAATGGGAATAATCCCACTTTCATTGCCAAGCTCACAGAGTTGTTGTAAGGAAGTAATTTCATAATTTTGGAGTTCCCTCAAACCATGGACAGTATTTACAATCCAGAGACTACACAGATCCCCAAACCAAGTAAGATCCCAGTTGGTCAGCATCATTGAAATCAGTGATCAATTTCACAAGAACTGAAACTGAACTGAATCTGCCTTTACTAACCCACTCATCCCAGTCACCCTGAGGACACTGGACCATGGTCTGAATGAGGAAGAGGACACGGGAGTTGCAATATAGACTTGGTCTGTGATTTCAGCAGCAAGGTGATTCATCCCACCCTTTAGAGTGACCCAAACTGGGGGTAGTTGGAATAAATGAACTACTCTGAGAGGTAGGAAAACCTGCCCTTGAGGTCACCCTAGTCATTTTTCCTTTAGGCCAGATTTGTGCTAATGGTAAGAAGGTTTCTGCCTTCGTTCAGGCCTCTCCTTTCTCCAAAGGAGCCCAAGCCTTCTCGAAGATGCCAGATTGCAAATGTGGACAGATGTTGTGATGTCTGCGTGGCTTTTGTTCCTGTGTCCCTAGAGATGTGCAGGCCCTGACCAATGCAGCGGGAAAGAAACAAGTCCCATTTCTGTTTGACAAAGGCAATAATTCAGCTGAGGGACTTGTTAATGTTAGATGGCTCTTACTGGGGGCAGAGATGCCAGGGTTCAAGAGAATCCCTGCTATCACCAAGCCTGTTTCTTGAAACATTTCTATACAAAAGCTGCATAGCCAGAAAAGCAAACAAACAAACAAACAAACAAACATCCCTCCATTCCTGATTAGCTCTCTTCTCCAGCAGGGGGGGCAATGGGGTGGGGGTGGGTGGTGGGAAAGGGGGGAGTGTAAATCAGCCAGTCCACAGCCATCTATGGAACACCTACAATGGTATGCAATGAGGTTACAAAGACAATTGTGACAGTCCCTGCCCTCAGGGGAAACAACATACCCATAGCATTGTAAGGTTATGGACTTAGAGCTGGAAGTCCCCATTTCACAGGTGAGGAAAACAAAGCCCAAGTAAATTAAGTGACTTGTCCAAGTTCATGCCAGTAGTGAATGTTGCAAGATGAATGTAACATAAATACGAGCTTAACTCGGTGAGTCAGGTGTTGACAGGGGGAATCACCGAGAACAGAGCAATCTGACCAATTCTGGTTCCTGTTAAGGAGCATTTCTAAGACCCCTCATAACTTTGTCCACGCCTCCAAGGTGCCCCAGGTCACCAAAGCAGCCTGTGGGGGAGATGAGACCCTCTCTGGCCTCCCTCTTGCCCCTCTGTCTCCTAATAGAGTCAAGGAAGATCAAAGAGACCTCTTCCATCCCAGCTACTGCTGCCACCGCTTTCTCCATCCATCGCCTGATAAAGGGGATGCTTTCCTGTAATGTTGACAGATGGTGGCCTGGTAAGGAGGAGCACCCACACTCTAGGGAAGGAATGTTAGAGAAGATGCTTGTCCATCTCTCTGCCTTGGGGTCTTCATCTGTAAAATGGGCATAACGAAAGCACCTCCCCACCAAGATATTTGTGACAACCAAATGAGAGCACGAAAGGAAACTATTTGGCAAACCCCAGGTCTCCAGACAAAAGGCTGCTGTCTCAATGGCTCCCCTGCTCTCCAAGCCTCAGCATCTTCTGGAGATGGTGGGGACACTGCTGGCTTTGGGGTCTCAGGCTTGCTGTCTCCCTCGAGGCCCAAATCCTCCGCTTTCTTTCCTTCAAGGGCAAATGCCAGAGCCTGGTCCAAAAGCCAGCCTTTTTCTCTGACAGCTCTCTGTTCACTTTTCTTACCTGCCTGAAGAGCCCCCACCTTCATCTCCTGTGAATGCATGCACTTCATGAACAATCAGAACAAGAAACAATGATTCACATCTGCATGAGACTCGAAGGTTCACCATGTGCTTTCCCTGTTGAGTACAATAGCCCAGTGAGGTGCCTAATGCCGGGATTATTCTTGTCCCCATTTTGAAGAGGAGACTTAGTGAGAGGTTACAAGAGTGGCTGAAAGACACACAGCTGGTTAACTGTCCTGGTAACTGTCTGAACCTGAATTCAAACCCGGGTCTCTTCTGACCCCACATCCAACCGTTGGTCCAGGCCATGTGTTTCCTCTTCCCTCCTTCCCACCCTCTTCCCCTCACATTGCAGGGGCCTCCCATGCTTTGTCCTTTCAAGATTGCAATTGTTGCAGACCCAAAAAGGAAGACCAGCAGCCTGCCCCTTGCCACGAGTGAATGATCATTATAGCTCACATCCATGTCACACTGTGCACTTGAAGGTTCCCAAAGGGCTTTACTTCTTCTTTGATCCTGGGAACATGGTCACCAGCATACTAGGAGGCGATTCTGGGACCTCCGGGCTTCACCAGCATAGGACCAAGTCCCCCATTATTCACACCACAAGCTCTGAGTACAAATCATTGCTGATACTGTTCCCCTGAACCCCTATTGGTGAGAGCAGGTGCCGCCTCCCTGCCTTGACCCGTTTTGTCTCCAACTAAAAATTGCGGATCTTGGTGAGCCAGGGGTTGGGAAAAGACATGAGAGGCTGGAGGAAGCCCAGGGAATCTTTAACTGAGGAAAGGCAAAGGAGGATTTCAGTGGGTGTTTTGGGAGGACTTGAAGTCTCAGAACTTTGGAGAAAGAAAGAAGCCCAGAGTCCCTGAAGTTAATTCCACTCCCCAATTTGACACGTGTGGAAGCAGAGGCTCTGGGAATGATGGGACTCACCCAAGGTTGCTAGAAGCAGGGCCAGGAATCAGACCCCCAACCTTCCACTCCCGATCAGGTCTTCTTTCCTCCCCACCCCTCAGAGGTCTTCCGTAGCATCTTCATAATTTCCAAAGCTTGCACTTCCACATGTACATAAGCTCGATGCAGTCTCTTGGCAACCTGTGAGCAGGGGGAGGGAGGTGGATATTTAGGACCCCATTTAGGAGCAGAAGGTGCACACTCTGGGGAAGTGACTTGTCCAAGGTCACATAGATTTTTCTTCCAGTCCAGACTTCATTCTGTTTGACCCTGTTGCCCTCAGACCACAGGGCCTGCTAGAGTCCATGGAGCTGGGAGATGGGAAGGGACTATATTGGTTCATCTTGGCCATTCAATGGATTGTTTTCCGTGCTCCCCCTCCCACATTCCGCCCCCCCCCCGACTTGAAGAGCTCAACCAGCAAAGATCTTTTTCAGGAAGCAAAAGGAGAGCAAAGGTGATATGTAAGGAAAGAAAAAGACTGTCCAGATGGTCAGTCCATCAACATTGACCCTTCATGGGAACAGGAAGAAGGACATCTCTACACTGGGCAGAGTATTCCCTGACTTTCAGTCTCATGCTCTGCTTCTGCCTCAGTTTCCCCAGTAGACACTCTGAAGCAGAGAGGCCTCTAGCCATCATAGCTCAGGAGCCTTCTCACACCCCTCAACAACAGGGAAAGCAAGTAACCTGAATGTTACCAGGGCAGGTGCGTGAGTCTCAGTTAAGGGAAGCAGCTGAAAACTTGACATAAACTTACACCACCTTGGCAAGACCCAAACATCTCCAAGGCACCCACAGACAGCCCTTTTCAATGACAGGTTACACTTTGCCAGCTGTGTGGCCCTTTGGGGATCCCCTGAACTAGTCACAGAACCCCAGAATCTCAGACTCAGAACCTGAACAGGAATCCCCTCTACTATATCCCCCCAAAGAGGAAGCCTCTCCCACGGCTGATCAGCTCTAATTGGTGGGGAGATCATCAGAACCGCCAGCATTTCTCTGGCACGTTGAGGTCAGCAAAACATGTTTACAGACATGGTTTTATTGGACCCTTCCACAAACCCTCAGAAGGAAGTGCAATTATTATCTCCATTTTATAGATGGGGAAACTGAGTCAAACAGAGAAGTTAGGTGACTTGCCCACAGTCTTGTTTTGTCATGGCCAACTCTGCATAAGCTCATTTGGGGGTTTTCTTCATAGAGATACTGCAGTGGTTTGCCTTTTCCTTCTCCTGCTCATTTTGCAGATGAGGAACCTGATAGACAAAGGTGAAGTGGCTTTCCCAGAGCCACACAGCTAGTAAGTGTCTGAGGCTGGATTTGAACTCAAGTCTTCCCGATTCTAGGGCCAGAGCTCTATCCACTATATCACCTAGCTGCTCCTGTTTTTCTCTTCTTTTCAAAATACCTATAGCAGTTG